TTACTTTTGTTGTTATAATTGCAGGCATTGGTCAGGAAATGAATGTAATATTATTGTCATATTTGTGAATGGTCACTATGTGAGGCAGTTGCTAAACAAGATTTACATGTATCTGCTTTTTTCTGGTTTTGACTTTATCACTAAGTTGACATTTTCATTTCTGATATAGAGAGTAGGTTGAAAAGGGCTGTTACTAGAGTATTCATTTGAATTACTTTCAGCTCAAGTGGCATATGTCAAAAACAATACAAATTTAAAGAAAAAAAATAAAAATAAACACAAGTAAACATAATTGGTTCCTTTGAACAATAAGAGGCACTAGTCCAAATAATTAGCGGGAAGTATTTGGAACCAGTTGGGAGCCAGTTCTTTAACCGTCCTGCTCCATCATTTATTTCCTATGTTCAGGGATGAGTGCTTTCTTGTCATCCTCTTAAAACAAGTTTCAATTGGCTGCTATAAGTTGAATTGATTTTAACTTTATTTTAAACTAGCACCAGTTGTTACATTTTTTTTTCATTTTGTTATTGTTTATGTATTACTTTTCATCCACATTTTGAAGAATATTTTAAGAAATCTTGTTAAAAGACCATTAAATTAGAAGTGTGAAGAGAGATGACGTCATCCCTTTTTTTGTCTAAAACAGCAAAAGGGATTTAGGACACGGTCATTATGGGTTTAGTGGAACAAAAGGAATGAATATATGAAAAATGTTGTGACACTGTTAATTTCACAACTACTTTCATTCTCTTAAGAGCACAATTCTCCTTTTCTAACCAAAGCAAAGAACCAAAGATGTCAAGGGAAATGAAATAATATTTACAGTTATGCAGAATGGGGGAGAAAGTTTGATTTTTAAAGACTCAGACATGAAGAACTTACCAATACAGCTATAAAAGTGGGCTGGGGAAGTTCTGGAAAGCCACACACCTTAAAGTTACTGAGCTTGAGATATACTGTTTTAAGGCATCCTTCCCCAATCTGACCCCTTCCAGATGTACTCCTACAACTTATTTGTTTATCAAGCAAGTTGGAATGAACATAATGTCACAGTGCAGGATATTTTGGTGAGGGATAGTCTATTGGAGTTGATTTCATAGTTGTAATCAGAAGGCACTCAAGGGTTTAAACTAGGTGTCTTTCCATACCCTGTATGCCACCAGGATTACTTCTTGAAAAGAGAAACTGCATGGAATTCAAACTGAAATGATAGCACAAATTAGAATTTTCTTAGTCCTAAGTAAGACACCTTATGTCAAATGTTATTTGATTGATCGATGATTGATTGATATTGTTGTACATCTTGCTGAGGTGACTATTTGGAGCTTTTCTTTGTTTTCACAGAAAATGCATTTAAATTGAAGGAAGCCATTGGCAGCAATATCTGTGTCTTTAGGCTGGCAAACACTCCTTGAGTCTAATACTTCTTCAACTTTGGTAGCTGGACTTTGTTATCAGTTAGAAGCTTCTCAGTATGGCTGAAAGACTAGGCTCATACATAGTGCTAAACTGAGACAAGCATACAGTTATTGGTTATTATTCTATATAGCATTATGTCAAACATTTGTTGTTGCATAATAGCAAATTTTACAATAGTAAATTTTGGGGTACTTGAAGCTTAAGGAAGAATGGTGGAAATTATCTGTGGTTGTGTGCAACACATATGATAGCAATGACTAGTACCACAGAAAAGGAAGAATGAAACAAAGGAAACATATTGACTTCTATTCTGTGAAGAGATGAAAGAAAAACTCCCTTGATTTTCTAGGTCTTCTATGCTTATGAGATTACAAGTAACTGCACTTGGCTAAATTCTGAATATTGTCTTTCTCTTTCTGAGTGTGTTTGTTTGGGTGTGTATGTGTGCACATGTGTTTAATTGGTTTTAACCTATTTTCTCATAGCTTTGTTGTTAGTAGAGTCTGTTAAACAACCTGAACTGCTGACATTAAAATTTGGACATACTTTTATTTTACACTTACTCTTTCGAGAGATGAGTGAAAATAATCAAAATTATTTTGTGTGCATGACCTTTAAAAATCAACTGGCAATCTCTCCATTTTTCATTTGCTTTTGAGCTCCCAGTGGTGCAGAATTGTAACAGATGGAATAAAATGTAATTTGTAGATTTTAGAATATTGTAGGAAACCACTGAAGTTAGTAAACTCCATATAGTATAGTGTTTTTAACTAAGAGATGTTTTGAAAGAAGAGTTAGAAAGCAAAGCAGAATTGTAATTTAATTAAAATATTGAGCTCCAAAATATGAAGTTTCAAAATATTCAATTATATTCTTTATTCTGTTAATAAGTAAATCAAGACAAAAAAATAGGAGATTTCTTTAAAAATATGTTGTTTGTAGTGTTTTTTTGTGTGGGACACGGTGGCTCAGTGGATAAGACGATGAGCTTATCAATTGAAAGGTCGGCAGTTCAGCGGCTCAAATCCCTAGTGCCGCGCACCAGGGTGAGCTCCTGTTACTTGTCCCAGCTTCTGCAAACCTAGCAGTTCGAAAGCACGTAAAAAATGCAAGTAGAAAAATAGGGACCACCTTTGGTGGGAAGGTAACAGTGTTCTATGCACATTTGGCATTTAGTCATGCCGGCCACATGACCATGTCTTCGGACAGCGCTGGCTCTTCAGCTTTGTAACGGAGATAAGCACTGCCCTCTAGAGCCGGGAACGACTAGCACATATGTGCAAAGGGAACCTTTACCTTTACCTTTTACTGTTATTTTTAAGCCACATTTTATTTGATTTTATCTTAAAAATCTTGAGAACAAGTGTGAAAAAAAGGAAATTAAAAAGACTGATAATAACATGATAGCCATGTGATCACTTTGGAACATTAAGAGGATATTTTGGAGAGACAATGTTTATATCAAAAACATGATTATGATGAATTGTTGATAAGTGAAGCAGTAGTAAAAATTATGTGGAAAATAAATAATTAAAATTCATAGGTTGTCCAAGATTTAATTGTCAATCTAGAAGAAAAAAATCATTCCAGAAATATTCTAAAGACATCAATAGATTTCTATCGCAGTTACTGCTGGTATAGAACCAAGGCAAGATTTTTAGATGAATGAGATATTCATCATTGAGACAAAGTTAGATATAATGCTTCATCTTAACAGAGATATTCAAGGAAGCCTTCAGTAATTTGTTTAAGATATTCCAGGTTTCAACCTGTTCTATGAGTTCCTGTGTAACATTCCCTTTGGAACTAATCTCATGAATGTATTTATACAGAAAAGGAATCTTGAGAACTGAAATTCACATCTGCAATACAAGATATTGTTGCTTGTGTTATATGTCTTCCTCTTAAGAAAATTATATTATTCTCTTTAGTTTATTTTCTCTATAAATCTGAAATACTGGTGAAATTACCTGATAATACAGAGGTCCCTAACCCCCAGTCCATGGACCAGCACCAGTCCGTGACATGCCAGAAACTGGGTCATGCAAACAAGTGAAGCCCCATCCACGGGATGCAAGCAGCATGTGAAACCATGCCTCCTCTGGTCCGCGGAAAAACCTTTCTCCATGGAACCGGTCCCTGGTACCCAAAAAATTGTGGGTCACTATGATACGGTCTTTCGGTTGAATTTGAAATTGGTGTCAGTACTTCACTTCATCTGTATTAGATGAGTAGTACCCTCAGGGTTAAGAAAATCTCCTACATTTAGTCTTCAGCTCAGAGCGTTCTAGATTAGAATATGTGTTCAGGTTCCAAAATTTCTTAATTATTTAGGGATAGATCTAGGAGGTTGTACAAGTTTTGTTGTACAGATCTAGGAAGTTATAAAGTTTTGTTGAGGTTTTGCTTTTTGTAAAATGTTACTCTCATCTCTTGACCCAGATACCCAAGAAATATTCTTGCCTAAATAGAATAGTAAAGGATCATATTACCATTTCCCAGAGTCTACCCTTTGGTCAAAAATCACCTAATGAATTCCAAGTCCTGTTCCTATCTAGCTGGCCATTAAATTACACTAACTAAAGTAAGTCTTAGAAAGAACCTTGTAAGTAAAGGTTATATTATATAATATTTGGCATGCAGCTATGCACCAAGCAAACATATGCACACAAACACAAGTCTGTGTCTGTGGGTATTGTAATCCATGATTACAATATTTTAAAGGCTGAAGTCCAAGATTTGCAAGCTTTATACATTCTTCATTCTGTTTATTTTAATGAGATCTTAAAGCATTTTTTTCCTGGCTTGGAATTTTCTTATATATTTAGACAATAATTTTTGATGTTATTTTTGTCAAAGCCTTGATCTTTATGTTATAACTATTCTGTTATATCTTCGATTATGTGAAATAATGGATGACCCAATTTTATTTTATTTTGCCATCTGTTCAGTATATTGAAACTGTTGGGATTAACCGAATTACAAGATAGAGGATTTTTTTAAGGTATATTTTTCCTGACTTGGATATAAATTATATCAGATTGATATCTAGATCTCAGACATAAAGCTGTCCTTGAAGATGGTTAAGAACTCTGTTGTTATTCTTCTTTAAATGACTAACCTGGACTAAGAGATTGGAGCAAGAGGTATTTTGCAAAATTAAACCTGTTTCACCTGAACATGTTTTAACTAGTTAATAAGAAATATCAAAACAAAAACAAGGCAAAAGACAAAAGACAAAACCCTAAGGTCAATGAGCATTCTTTCTGAAGAGTTAGTATTTGATGTTTAAATTTGTTTTTTGGGGGGTCTGTCTATAACATAAGTTTTAATAACCTAGCTCAAATGCAGATTTCTAATTTTCAATTAACTTAGGAATAATTTTGTTTGCTAAAATAAAATAAATGAATGACAAGTCTGAACCTTGAAATGTTCTAGATAGAGCTTTTTAAAAAATTCCAAATTTTTTCAAAAAAAAAAAATAATCATGTGGCAACTGTATAGCTCAAGCTTTAAGTATTAACTTTTAACCTTTGACCTTACAGATTTTAACCAATGAAATGTCTCTTTAAACTTTAAAGGAAACAATGATAACGAGCGCCTGGCGATTGCTAGACAGCGAATTCCATATCGGCTTGGTCGAGTAGTTGATGAATGGCTACTCGACAAAGGTAAAAACATTGATTAAAACTTCAAATAAAAAATAATTTGAACATAACCAAGTAGTGCTTCATTGTAACACCAATAAACATAAAACAATAAATTTTTCAGTAAAACTAAATTAAAAACAAATTTTAAACAGTTAAATGTAGAGTAAATATTTGCATACAGTGTATATAATAATTTCTATACATTTTAGTGGTACCGCCTGTTTAATAATCATACCCTGATAACTTAAGGTTAAAGGGACTGTTAAATATAATCCACTAACTCAATCTATGAAGATATTCATAGCAAATATTAATCAAAACTGATAAATTATTCATAGATTACGTTACATATTCCTTCAGCTAAATTATTAACTAAATATCTATATATGTATGTAGTTATGAGATCTTCGTTCCTGAAACAAAACAAAAAATCATTTTTTAAACTGTAGGTTATATCTTAAATAGTGGGCTGTATCATTGCCAAACAAGATGAAGTCCCTTTAACATTTGCTACCTTCTAAGGAGATTTTGGAACAAACACTAACTAAAAGAGCTTAAAGTTGTGTGCATGCTGTTATTGTTAGCAGAATCCAATCTGCAAAAAAGAATATTATGTTTATGAATATTCCTATTGATAATGGGTTTGCACTGGTGAGGATTTCTTTTTAAAAAAATAGCAATGTGACATGACTCTTCATTGATATGTGTATCATTCCTTGAAATTGTTTTTACATTAAACATTTTTTGTTGCTTTTTTCTTTAGTTGATGGCCTTGCTGAAAGATAATCAGACATTTCTCTTTCTCTCTTTTTCTTTATCATTTTTGTTTGTTTCTGAAATGCTCAGCATAGAATATGTATCCCATGCCTTCTCAGTGTCTACGTGTGTGTATGCCTTTCGTAAAGGAGTAACTCAACTTTCATATATGAAGTCTTTTTATTAGAAATATAAGGAGTTATTCTTACTAACATGTTTTAAAACAGGCAGCCTTATAGCATAATATAAGCAGATATATATTTTATGTTTCAATTTAATTATTTAAGGCTAACCTTTATTCGGCATCATGGTAGTTTCCATATTACATAGATTTACACAGAAATGATTGTGTTCTGCCCCAGCTACGGACCCCAATGAAAGTAATATGAAATATGAGTGTATGAAAGTAATATAATATACATATATTGTGCAATCCTTGAATATTGCACATTTCGTATGATAGCCCTGACAATCTGTAGCCACCATACATTTAAGATAAAGAAAACCATTTGGAAAAAAGTGTGAGAGGAAATAGTGGGAAATAAAGTCAATGAAGTGGCAATATTAACAAAATTCTCAGTTCGCCTTTTTATCATACACACACACACACACACACACACACACACACAAAACAGAGCTAAGCAGTTACACATATAAAACAGTTCTGCATTCCATAGCACCTCATTAAAACTCATATGAAATATGAACAAATTTCCTTTCTTATACTTTATTACTCTCATCCTCCACCCCATAATCTGTTAAAATCATCCTCTTTAAGAGTGTGGTGTTCACAATCAACATTTTTTGCATGTATGTAATATTATTTTCACAGGGCGTCAGCTCACAATCTTCAATAGCCAAGCAACGATAAAAATTGGAGGCAAGGAGCGAGGTCATCCATTTCAGGGTCAGCTTTCTGGACTCTACTACAATGGTTTGAAAGTCCTGAACATGGCTGCCGAGAATGATGCCAACATAGTGATAGAAGGGAATGTCAGACTCGTTGGTGAAGTGCCTTCCTCTATGACAACTGAGTCAACTGCCACTGCAATGCAATCAGAGATGTCCACCTCAGTCATGGAAACCACTACCACTCTGGCTACCAGCACAGCTAGAAGAGGAAAGCAACCTACAAAAGAATCAATTGTTCAGGTTAGCCAACTGTGATTTCATTTTTAAATGTGTGGCTTTCTTTCTAGATTTTCAGCATATACTTGCCTTTAGTAGATGAAAATAAAATCTTCATGAAGCTTTAAGATTATAGTCATCAAGCTATGGATGCAACATTGACTTAAATGTTGTAGAAGGAGAATCGTGTTGATGTATGGTATGCATGTTTCTGATGAAGTAAGTTATAGCTCATGGAAACGTATGCTTTTTAAATATTTATTAGTCCAAAGGTGTTTTTAATAATTATTTGTGTAAAAAGGTATTAATATATTCCTTCTGATTTTAAATATACTGGCTGTAGCATGTGTATTCTCTAGGAGGCTATCATGTGATAACAGTGCGTCTGTGCTAATACCCATAGAACCAGGTTATCTTTTCCTTATACTAGCTTGAAAAAAGCAGATAACATCAGGAATAAGGAATTTATATCTTAAAACAGCAACTATGCTAAAATTAAGCATTTGCTTATATAGTAAGCATAACTAAAAAAAGCAGAATTTTGACTTTTTCAAATTGAGCAAATTAATCACCTTGAATGCTTTAGAAATAAGGAATGATATTTCTACTTGCTCCTTGTTAAACTCAATTTATACGTTATGTAGGAACAACTGTATAAAATATTTCCCTAATATGTCAGATTAACGACCTGTCCAATCCTTAGTTGTCTCCCAGACTTTCCATTATTTATATTCTGAGTCCTTCCCAGCCTAGAAACTTAAAGTTTCTTGCATACTATATGTCCAAACATTCATAAAAATGAAATGTGGTTGTTATACAGATTGTAACAAAATGTAATGAAATTTCCAAGCATGAAGCAAGTGAGACTCTAGCTGCAATGTGTTTGTATTACTTTACCAAACATATCTTGAATTTGGTTTAGTGGCCTTTGAAGTTTGGATTTAGTTTGAAATTAGTTCAATTTTGTATCATTCCAGGTTTCCAGTTCTTGTTATTGTGAGCTTAACCTATCACCGTAAGGTGATGCCTTGTAGAAATGGGACTGAGCCGTGTGAGCTATTGGTAAAATCATACTTGACTCTTAGCACATGTTGAGACAATGTTGAGTTATCCAGGCAGCCTCACTTTTAAGATTATAAAAGGTGAGGAGTGTTTGAAGGTAATCACATTCACTGTAAATCAGGCTGAATACAGCTTTAACAAATAGGGCATGCTCTAAAATGACTTATTCACCAAAATGTGTGCAAGTGAGAATTGCAGCATTATGTTGTGGTTTAGATTAATTCTACTTGGTCACTTCCAGCATACTCTATTCCACTTTTTCTCCCACAGATACTGAACATTCTATGGTCGCTTTGCACACTTAACTCTTGTTGGGCCATTTTTGTGAGATAAATGATTTATTGCTTTACGCTATCCTTTCCCTTCCTTGTAAAAATTAGTAGTTGTTCCATTTGAATGTCAGTGCTTCCTTCTCACTCTGTCTTGCTATCATACATGGTTTGAAATAATCCAAATAGATAAATGGTTACAATAAATTATTTCTAGTTACAGAAAATTATAGCACCTTACTGCCTTCTATAGAGCATTTGCATTTATATAATGCAAATGCACTTACTTCTTGACTACATTGTTATCATGAATTTCTCACTGGAACTCACCATCTGTATATATAACAATTACATCATTATTTCACCATCAATCCATTTATATGTATATTAATGTTATGCAATATAAATTGTAGTACTTGAGGTGGAACAGGCGGCTATAACAAAGGTAAGTAGAGAGATCCAATTCTGAAGGTAACTTAAATCAGACGGTTCGAATTTTGTTCTTTTGTGAAGTCTAAGGCAGGTGGCTTTTGTGTGAGCTAACTTTCATTTCATTCTGTATCATGCTTCCTAAAACATATGTAAGTTAGCTAAAACCTATAGCTGTTCTTTATGATGAAACAAGCATACATAATGTGGTGGTTTCCTGGACTTTGAATGTTTTAGGGCAATAAATATGTTGCCAGTGTTTCACAGCCTTTGTTCTTGCATATTTCATGGCCAACATGCATACAAAGGTAAAACAAGTGAAGATTTTTTTCTGGTATGTACCAATTAGATTTTAGAGGTTGTGTCATGTACTTTACCTGGAGATGCCTGTCCCACCTTAGGCACAAAGCCATCCGGTTTATCTTAGGTCACTTATTCTCAGCCCTAAGAAGCCTGTTGTGTCCCCCTTCCCCACACAGGCAAACACACAACCAGGCACACCTGCCAAGATTTTATTAAGCAATCAGACTAGAAACCCTTGCAGATAAGAGTTTTAGCAGTAAACTGCGAAATGCCTGCCAAATCAGTTTTCACTCACAGTAAGCAAGAGAGAGTTTATCCTCAGTCCGGTTCAGTAGCAAAAAGTAATCCACGAAGCAAGAGTTAGCCAAGGTCCAATCCAAATATGCACAAGCCAGATTTCAGGTAACACGATGTGACTCTCAGGTTTTTAACTTTGACCATCACAAAGCCTGAAGAGCAATCATACCCACTTTTATTCCTTGTGGGGTGTGGCTCAGTGACTCAGCTCAATCTCTGGCCCTCCCACGCCCCTTTCGTTGCTGCACACGCTTCTCCCTCTGACACTGCCTGGGATCAAGCCAGGATTCATTATCCTCGCTCCCTATCTGTTGTTGTTCCGATATGATTTCCTTCTGGCACATCCCAAGCTGTTCCTCCTGGCCTTCGGATGGAACCTTAGGCATTGCCAGAGAGGAGGGTCCTGGAGAGGGAAGCCTTATCAGTTCCTCCCCATCACCTTCTGAGTCCTCTTCCTCTGTTAGGACAGGCTCGGGAGTCGGGGTCACAACAAAGCCATTGAGAAACCACTAAGTGCCTACCAAGAAAACTTCATGGGGGAAGTCACCAGGAGTCAAAAATAACTTGAAAGCAAAACTTATTTTTTTACCAACAACAACTAGATTGGTTAGATTTAAAAATAGCTTTTCTTTTTAAGAGTATGATTGCCAAGCTACCTAGGACAGGCAACAAAATTAAACAAAAAAAATGTTTCAGTGTGAAGTATTCCAGTTCTAACTAATCAGGCAGAGCCAAGACCTTTGTAGAAGAGGCCATTACATTTTTTCATCTTTTTCTTTTATTTTCCAGAAGATACCTTGCCTTCTCCAGTCACTGACTTTGCATAGTTATAGCTGGGCTATCTTGTTGCTTTTCCAGTATCATTGTTACTATAATTTTATTTAATGGTAAATCTGCCATCTTTGGTTGTCCAAACCTTTAGCTGGCTAATGAGGTTTTAGTTACAAAGGGATTTGCACTCGGAAAATGATTTTGCTGCTAGTGTATTTATTCGATGAAAACTTGGAGAAATGTTACTCCAGAGATGCTAATGCTAAATAAATATTCGTCTTCAATTTCAGCAGGTTTTGGGTTCCTGATTCTCCTTATCTAAAATATTTCCTTTATTTGATTTGTTGTTGTTGTTTCTGTTCGTATGCTGAAATAATTACAACTTGAAAAATAGACATAATTGGAAAGTATCCTTTTTAGGCTATCAACAGAACTTGAAACATTATTTTTGTTTCCTTGAGGTTTTTTGTTTGTTTGTTAATGGCATTGGAAAGTTGTAATCACATTAGAGGGATTAAGAAGGAAGGTAAGTAAAGGTTTAGGGAAAGTGGATAGATATTGACAGTAATTGACCAGGTGGGAGAACCTTAGCCTGTAGCATGATATGAGACCAAATCATGACTACTGGTAGCAGTAATCTAGAGAAATCTTGCTTTAGATTTTTCTAACTACTTGAGGAATAATTCACATGGCAGCTCTCTGATTATGCTCAACTTTGTGAAAGAGAACTGATGATAATAATGAAGAGTCGTTCTTATAGAGATGTGATCAACTAAGCAAGATATTCTGACAATTAGTATGATATGGAGAGGAAAGAGAAGAGGGAGGATGAAAATTGGAAGGCTGCAAGAATTAGACTCTGGGAGACAAGTGGAGTATGAAGAGTATAGAGAATAGCTTTGGTAGAGAGAGGAAAGATCCATTATCAAGGCAGCAAAAAGATAAAGAGCCTATAGAATAAATAGATTTATGAAAATGTCAAAAATAGAACCCACTAATTCACATATTATATGAAAGAAGGAGGAAAGGAAGCAAATTAAGACCACACAATTCTGTTATTATAGCCATTATAATTAAGATTAGTTTTAGATCTATGTATTTCTCTTTCTTGATTTGGTCTATCTTGTAGGGTAGAGAGCAAACAATGGTTCTTTTGAGTATGTTTAAAGATATTAGTTATTTAACTGAGTTTTGCTTTGCATCCACAGTTGAATGGGATTGTTACCCTTGCAAGCACTATGGCAAGTTGGGGGCTTTGAAAAAAGATGGGAGTATAGAAAAAGGGACAATTATAGGGATTGGCAGAGAAAGAATAGCAAAAGGTGTGAGGTCATTCACTGTGAAGAATGTTTGAAACCAATCTTCATTTACATTTCCTTGTCCTCAAGCCAGAAACCTTTGAACTCTCACTGATTTTGCTGAATGCCAAGTCTGCCTTTAATAAATTTTCTCACATCCATGATTTTATTTATGGGTGAGAGAGCAAACCTGGTCTATATTACTGAAAGGGAAAGAAGGAGGTGTTCCCCTTTATAAACTGTGTTAGCTGGCATAGGAAAGGAAAGGTAACAGTTGCCATCTGGGAATCTCTGATAGCATTTAGAGGCACTGTTCCACAGATAACTAGATGTGAAACATTGTCTATGTGGTTGGCTTCCGGGACAAATTTGTTTTGTCCCCTCCGATGAGGTCCAGCAGCCTGGCAGTATCTGGGCTGCTGGATCTCATCATAGGATTGGCTGTGAAGGTTTCCCACACAAATGGGGCTGAGTGACATCAGTTTGTCTTCTATGGTAGAGGAGGTCAGAGTGGCCCAGGAGTTCATAGCCACCATGGATGTGTTTCAGATCATCAAAGGCCTAATTCATGTAGGAGACCATACATTCGATCTGG